ACTCATCTTCGTGTACTTTGTGCCATTGCCACACTGTATCTTTCTTTCACAGGTCTCTTAAATGCTTGTTTTTGGCAGATAAGTTATCTATAAAAGGGCTTAAATAGTTAACCATCCCGAGGAAGCGTTGGAGTCCGGGAGCATTTGTTGGAACTGGCATTTCACTAACGGATTTAATCTTATTGTCATCTAGCCGTACTCCATTCTCACTAAAAATATGTCCTATAAACTTTATTTCAGTTTTGAATATATTCGATTTAGATCTATTAAATCTTAGACCCACTTTTTCAGCTCTATTTAAGACTTTGGATAGAATTATATTATGTTGTTGTATACTTGGCGCATGAATAAGAAAATCGTCCATGTACCCTTTATATCACCAAAAAGACGTATCATATCTGCGTGGAAAATTTCTGGCGCGGAGTTTATTCCGAATGGCAAACGTAAAAATTTGTAGCGGCCAAAAGGAGTTGCGAATGTACAAGGCTTAGATGATTACTCATCTAAGGGAATCATCCAGAATCCCGAATTCGCGTCTAAACTGCTGAAAAATTTTGATCCGCTCATTTGAGATTTACACTCATCTAAGTTCGGAAATGAAAATCGTGGCCTAATTATAACTTTGTTAAGATTTCGCGGATCTAAGCAAAGCCTTAGAGTCCCGTTGCCTTTGTGACCAATACTACGGAGTTCACCCACTCTGTTGGTTCTCGCACCTCAGCAATAACGTTTAAACTTTTCATACGATCAAGTTCTTTTCTCAAAGGCTCTAACAAACCAAAAGGTATGCGTCGCGGTGGATCTACGACTGGCTGACAACTTTCTTTTAACTGCAAATTACATTTATTTTGCAATTGACCTAGACCGTTGAATATCCCAACGTATTTTTCTAAAATATCTTTGCATTTTATCGACTTCACTATTTGCACCAAATTCATTTTTACCGCCAAATCCAAACCCATAACACTTTTACAATCCATATTTAAAATATAAAATTTTGCAAAATATGTAGCACCGTCAAATCGCACTTTCAAATCAGCGCACCCTACTACTGGAAGCTTTTCACCACTGAACGCAACAATATTGTTCAATACCAAGAATGATAGAATACAAGACAACTTTTGTGTGACGTCACACTAGTGCAATTGCGAGAGAGAAATGCCAAAACGTGAGCAAGAATGGAAGAAGAAGAAAAAATGTTGCAAGGAAAACGTAAACAAGTTGCACAAGTGTGACGTCATGCAAACAACGATTCTGTCAAGTTCGTTAAGAGAGGAATAGCGGTCCGAGATCGGCGCAACCTTTGTATTCTCTCAATCGTGGTTCAATACCTTATTATTAATCTTAGATACGTCTAGTTTTTTAAGCATTTTTACCGACATCAGATTCGCCTTCGACTTTTTATCGCTGCTATCATCTCGTCAGATGTTGTTGTTGTTGTTTGCGTTGCTGCTGCGTTCTCCCTTGCCATTTCAATGCTCCTGCAATTTCGAATGCTTTTTGCCATTTAATTTCACCTTCGCTTAAAAGGCGCTCCTTGATATTTTTGAAGTTTGGCGACAATCCGCATACAAAAATGTCTTTAACGAGGTCTTCCCGCAGGTTACCAAATTCACAAGTCGCACTCAAGTTTTGTAAAGCAGTTGCATACTGACTTAATTTTTCACCTGGCGCTTGTCGTCTAATAAAAAAATTGTGACGCTCCATTGCAAGATTAGTCTTGGGAACAAAGTACTCGTTAAACTTTTTCCACAAATCATTATATTTTACGCTGTCTATAGCCAAATTAAAAGAATTAAATATTTCGAAGGCCTCTGCGCCAATGTGGTGCAGTAAAATCGCCACTTTGCGTCTATCCGACTGTTCTTCTTAATTGGACGGCAGGAGAAACACTTTGAATTGGTTACTCCAATTTTTCCACTCTTGCGATAGGTTGTTGGCTTTTGTGTTTGATGGTGGCAAATTTGCTGCCATTGAAATAAATTGTTTCTCCATAGTGTTTGGCGTCTGATCTGACACCATGTTATATGGTTGACTTCTAATTGACGACTGTTTTATTTCATGTTCTTGCTAGTTGCATATTCATTTACAGGGTTGTATTTTAAAGTACTTAAAACTATAATTGAATTACACAACAACCGACAGGAAATCCTATATATTCTACCTTACAACACGAGGCCCAAAAACTATCGAAATGTTGGAAATCGTTGAACCTATCCGCAATCCCAGAATAAAAAGATCCCTAGATTTTCTTGGCACTGCCTGGAAGTACCCAGCAGGAAGCCCCGATCACGACGACTTGAACATGATCAATAATAATTTAGACAAGCTAATAACCAACAGTAATAATCAAGTTTTTATAAATAGTGCTTTGAAGCAACAAGTTAATAAATTAACGGAAGTAACTAATGACATACTACATTCAATTAGGAATTAGAATATGATCGCGAATGAAATAGCGTTAAATTTGCAAAACAGGCTAAGATTAATAAAGGAAGAAATTATTAATATAAAATACGTCATACAATGGGCTAGGTTAGGAATTGTAAACACTATTATTCTAAATAAGAAAGAAATTGAAATAACTGTTAAAGAATTTAATAAAGAAAATATGACCCTTCAGTACTGTAGAAGAGGCTCTAAAATTAGCAGAACTTAGCGTACTAAGTAATTCTACAACAATTTTATACATCCTGAAGATACCCTTAACAACAAGGGAAGTTTATAACAATTATATAATAAAATCAGTAATAAAAAATAATTTCATGATAAACTTGAAATTTAGCAATGTACTTAGAAACAAATATGAAATATTGGGAATTAAAAACCAATGTAAAAAATACAATAAAATTAGTATCTGTAATCAGGATGACTTGTTAGACGTAAGAAATGATTTCTGTATACCTAACCTAATGAAAAGCCTCAATTCTTCATGCCACATGATAAACTGTCACCATATTCCAAGAGACGAGCTCATCGCGCCCGGGATCGTTTTCCTCAACGATTTTCACGGCAACATTTTAGTAGAAGGCACCGTGCGAACCATGAACGGCACTTACATAATGAATTTCAAAAACGCATCCATAGCTATCAATGAGCGAACATACAAAAATTTTGAATCACCCACAGTAAAAGTGATGCCAGCAATTGCTCAGCCAACGCCAATAGAAGAAAGCATAACAAAGCTGCTTTCACTAGAGGCACTTAGCGAGCTACATATAAATAACGCCGTAGAAATCCAGTCACTGCAAATAGAAAGATCAGTAAATCGCATTTCCGCAGGGGTAACTATTGTTATAGTAATCATCCTCTTAGCTAGCACCAAGAATCGTTTTTATAAACAAACTAAATCAGCAAGCAAAGTTGAAAAACCAGCTGAATCCGGTGCTCATGATAGCCAGCTTCAAGAAGCCACCATCCAGGTCCCTACACCTGAAATAAGGACCTTCCAGGTTTTTCAGACGCTCGAGGACAAGCGTTTTTAGGGAGGGAGGAGTTAACGTAGCTAACATGCAAAACTCCAAAAATTCTATCTCACGCTAATGCAGTGCACTTGCATTCCAATTCTTGCACGCGCATCCGCGAAATTTCCGACACCCTCAACCAAGGCCAAGGCATCGCACCTGTTAATTCAATGTGACAATGAAGATTCTTGAGGTATAGACTTAAGTGAAAACAAAAATTGTAATCGGTCCTAATTTGAGTTTGAATAAACAACACGGCTTGCTGCCGTAAAAAATAATTTTTTTTAATAAACCTAACTTCGGTTAGTTTAACTTACATAAAAAGCGGAGATTTCTCTTGCATTCTTGAGGAATACCAAAAAAAACAGCACTTTAAGTGATAATTCCCGCCGCTCGTTAGTGCGCGAGTCTACTAAGTTTTTACGCCACCATTGTGGAAATCAACCGAAGCGTGGGGAAAAAATTGCACTAGCTGAATCAATAATTTCTGCAGATCTCCACTTTTTTCAAAACTTCATTGTTGCAGACGAACTGCAACTGGTGCAACAGAAATTAAGGAAAACGTTAAAAGCAAGACATGATTCGTCATTGGTAATGTATACACAATAATACTACGTATATACAAAAAAA